TCTATTCTATTCTATTCTATTCTATTCTATTCTATTCTATTCTATTCCTATTCCTTATTCTATTCTATTCTATTCTATTCTATTCTATTCTATTCTATTCTATTCTATTCTACTCTACTCTACTCTACTCTACTCTACTCTACTCTACTCTACTCTACTCTACTCTACTCTACTCTAAATTTATGAAAAATGCTTTGAAGGGGCCAACATTGCTCTATTGAGCTTGCTGGCTGAGGAATTCTGGGAAGTGAAGTCCACCCATTTTAAAATAGCGAAGCTGGAGAAACTCTGTTTTTTAGGCTCTCAGATTTTGTTCTTTTAAGCAACCCTTGAATGCTGGCTTGTTAAGATTTGCCAATTATAATTTGAGCTTTATGGGTGTCCTTGGTGCTCACAGCCTTTTTTATAAAGAGGTTTGTTTGTTTGTTTGTTTATGAAATGGTGGTGGCGGGCCTTCCCTTTTCACGAGATATTCCGATCCATCCGGGGTCTAAAATCAAGAAGGGGGTCTCTTCTCTTTTGTCAAATCCTTTTTTTAAAAAAAACAAAAACTAACGTATTCAGTTTCCCTGGGTGGCGTAAGCTTTTTCCAGTCACTTCTCTTTTTTTCTTTGTTTGGAAAGAGGGTTTTCAGTGACCAAACTAATGTGATTATTCTGAGATTGAGCTCCGGAGAGCTATTGAGAAGCTAAAAAGGTGGATTCATTCAGCTGGCTGAATACATTGGTTTAATCCTCTTCAGTCATGGGGCCGGAGAAGTGGGGAGAAATAGTACCCTTGTGGAAATGGGAGGCTCTCTCTGTGCGTCTGTCTCCTCTTTCTCTTGTCTCTGTCTCTCTTTCTCTTGTCTCTGTCTCTGTCTATCTCTTTCTTGTTCCCATCCTCTCCCCACTGCTCTCCATAAAAGTTGCAGCCTCTTAAAGCAACTCTTTTAACTTCTGTATTGCCTGTCTGCAGGAGCCGAAAATTTTTGGGAAATCCTGCATCTTCCAGCTGAGAATGGATTTGGACAACCGGGAAAAGATAGAAATCATCTTATTAAGGGATTAAACCTTCTCCCTCCCTCCCTCCCTCAAGGCAGCCCAGATCTTGCTGACAATTTGACGTTTTAAGTTTAATGTGAATTCCGTTTAAACGTCATCAGATTTGACGAAGTGATTTGGATTCTGGCTACCCTTCCCTCACTGTGATTCCAATCTAATTCGGTTACCTGCAGAATTGAAATACGAGTAATCCTCAGTCCCACTGAGCCCAATATTTCTGTTGCTGACTGAGACATTGGTTAAGGGAGTCTTGCCCCATTTTATGACTCACTTGCTAAGTGAATGGCTGTAGTTGTTAGGTTAGTCCCACGGTTGTTAAGTGAATCTGGATTCACTTAATCTGGATTGACTTCGCTCATCAGAAAGTTGCAAAACGGAAACACGTGGCCCCAAGGGACACTGCAACTGTCATAAATGCGAATCGGTTGCCAAGCATCCGAATTTTGATCACGTGCCCAGGGGGAGGCCGCAACGGTCATGAGTGTGAAAATCGAGTCCCTTTTTCAGCGATGTAACATTGAAGGGTTGTTAAACGAACGGTTGTAAATCAAGGACTGCCTGTACCATGTCCAGTTGTGGTCACCATGATACAAAAACGATGTTGAGACCTTGGGAAAGTGTGCAGAGAAGAGCCACAAAGATAATGAAAGGTCTGCAGGCTCAATTGTAGAATGAACGGTTGAATATCTATGGAGATTCTCAGACATCCAGGTCATGGTCGTCCCAAAGGTGCTTTTTCAAGAGGCAACTGGGCTTTCCGGTTTTTCTTTTGAAGACGTTTTGCTTCTCATCCAAGAAGCTTCTTCAACTCTGACTGGATGGTGGGGAATGGAAGGATTTATATCCCTTGCAGACAGCCAGTCATTTGCATTCTTTTAGCAAGTCGTTAAGGCCACCTGGAAGTTTTATCTGTGTCCTCATGACACAGTCCTTTCGGCAGTTCCAAGAAGGCTCCACACCCATTTGCACTACTCAAGTGACCCTGAGGACACAGCTAAACCTCTAAATGGCCTCAACAACCCTCTAAAAGGATGCAAATGACCAGCTGTCTGCAAGGAATATAAATCCTTCCATTCTCCACCATCCAGTCAGAGCAGAAGAAACTTCTTGAATGAGAAGCAAAATATCTTCAAAGAAAACCACTGAGGGCAGGACAAAGAAGTAAGAGATCCCACCCCCCATCATCGCGTGATCAAAATTACAGATACTTGGCAACGGATTCATGTTATGGCCGTTGCTGTGTCCCAAGGTCATGGGGCCCCCTTTTGCAACCTTTTGACAAGCTGTTGTGGTTAGCCGGCAGCAGGTGTGCGGAGGGCTGAGGAGAGCGAGGACTCAGATGAGGGGCCAGGACCATTAGGGAGTGGACTGCTGCCTTCAGAGATTGTGGGGGCTGGCAGCAGCGATGAGGAGGTTCCCGAGGAGCCTATGCCAAGTACGCGTGCACGCAGGATTGCTCGGAGGAAAGAGCAGTTACAACAGTACGGGCAACTCAGGAGTAAGGCTGCAAAGTAATGGGCCCTCCTTCAAGAAGATAAAAGCCACCTGTGAAACGAACATACTTTGCAGAAGGCAAAGACGTTTTGAAACTCCAGCCTCATGGACATTCCAGTATCCTGAGTTTGTATTTGAAGATTCTTATTTTGCAAAATTATTTCTTGTCTGTTATCTCTTGGCAAGTCTCGCACAGTTTGGCAAGGCTTGTGCTTATCACAGCTAATTATTTTGTAAAAGCATTGCAAGGTTTCTGTTCCTTTTGGATTGTGTTTGATTTGTTAGAAAAGGGCGTGGGTCAGAACACAAGCAAAGTCAATGGGGAAGCCAGATTCACTTATCAACCAGGTTACTAACTTATCAGCTGCGACGATTCCCTGAACAACCGAGGCAAGAATGCTCGTAAAACTCTTAACAAATGTCCCACTTAACAACAGAAATTTTGAGCTCCATTGGGGTCACAAGTCGAGGACTACCTGTACTTTGCTTATGTCCCAAGAATAAGCTGTTCTGTGCAGGATTGCATTGTGTAACTGTCTGCTATTTTGGGGGGGCTCTTGTTCTTCTCTATTGGTTTTTTTTTCCTCTTCTCTAGGTTATCTGCAAATACCTGAAAAACCCTAAACTGCCAGACAGGTTGTTGCTACAGAATATTTTCCAGGCTGTAAACATCTACTACAACTACACGGGGCATGCATCCTGCTTGAACTTAACTCAGACTACTACTCAAAGTCTGGGCCTTCGGGGCTGGTCTTACCAGGTGGGTGTGCACCCCGTAATCATCATGGCAATAATGGGAGAGGTGGGTGAATGGCAATCATGGTGTAAGGTGTCCCTTTTTCCAATGTAAAAGTCATAGTCATTTTTTTTTAATTTTGTAACTTTTTGTTCTAATCTTTTTAAGCATTTTTGTGATGACCGGGGGGTGTGACACAAAGGCAACACAGCCAGAGAATAAGTAGACGTCTCTTTATTAGCTCCAACTTTGCCCCCAATGATCCGGTTACTCTCCAGTCTGGAGAAAAACTCACCCACGAACCTGCACCAGCCTTTGGCTGCAGATATTTCAGTCCAAACGTTGTAAACTGAAAACTTTAAACTATAAATCCAACAAGGCAAAATAAGGTAATAAATCCGGCAGAGCAAGATAAGGAGTTCCAGAAATGGAGTAACAAAGCAGTAAATCAAACCAGTTGGGAGGATGCCAGGAACTTATAACAGTAACCAACACAAGATAAACTCAACGTTTGTTTCCAACAAACCCCCTCCCAACTGCCTCTCCTTTAAACTCCCTCCCCAGGTGTGCCTTGTGAAGGGAATCAGGGCCCTTTCCTCCCTCATAAGCCAAGCAACCCACGTTGCTCTCTTCTCAGTTCTTCCCAGTGTGCCCTAGGATGAAGAGGGGATGGGCCTGGGTCTTCCTCTGAATTCCCTCTCCCTTGTTCTACCTCTCCCCTGCTCTGCCCAGCCAGACTTTACCCTTCCCCAGTTTCCTTCACAGCCAAAGGAGCCACACTCTCACTCCCTGTCGGCTGTTTGTCTTCCTCCTCAGATTCAGACTCCGATGGGGGCACGACAGCTCTATTAGTCAGGTGGCAGCCTAGAAATGTAATAAATAATAAAGAAATCTTAAGAGTTCACATTTTAAGGGATTCACATGTGAACTTCTGTCTCTCTGACATTGCTCTTCCAAGCCAGGATCTTATAAAATTTAAGCCCTCCTGTTTCCTTTCTCGTCTACAAGGCCTGCACTGAGATGGTGATGCCCATGTGTTCGGACGGTATCAACGATATGTTTGAGCCACAGAAATGGGACTTCCATGCTTACTCAGAGGAGTGTTTCAAAACCTGGGGCGTACGACCCCGCCCTTCTTGGATTCCCACCTTTTACGGTGGGAAAAACATAAGTGCGCACAGTAACATCGTTTTCAGGTGAGTTTCTGGTGTACATAACCACAGCATCAGCAGCATTGTTCTGACCTAAGCTTCCCAAGATCGTGAAACAGACTCCCCGTCCCAATAAAAACCCCTTTGATTTAGGTGAAAGGGAATTCCTCTCCAGCAAAGTCTCAGCAAACAGTCTTTCATGAGATTTCACAACTACAGACCTTTATCAGGCTTGGAGAGTTGCCAGGCCAATATCTTCCAAACGCCACACTGTAGCAGAAATCACTTGGCAAAGAATCAGGAATAGATTTCATCCTAATGAATTGAACTAATTGTCTCCTGCAAAAACCACTCCCCTTTCGCTCCTCTTTATTTCCTATGGGAGGGGCCATTCACTGTCTACCTTTGCCCTTACTCCTCAGTCGACACTTGTTCCTTAACTGTTCCCTTCTCCTGGCAGCTCTGTGCATGCGCACACTAGGAACAGGCTCCAGCTGTTCTTCTGCCCCACTGATCTCCGACTCCGAAGGCAGCTAATAACTATCAGATGGCCCTGGACCCATCTCTGCCTCCAATGCAGAGCCCTCATCAGAGCCTTCCCCAGACTCCCATGTTCCTCCCCAACCTACTCACTGTCTGAGTCTGCTGTCAGCAACGGGCCACAACAAGCCCTCTCTAACAGAGTCAGCCTCTTGCCCCCCAACAATCTGGGTCCTCATTTTATCCACCTCGGAAAGATGGAAGGCTGACTCAACCTTGAGCCGGTCAGGATCAAACTCCTGGCAGTGAGTAGAATCGGCCTGCAATGCTTCATTCTAACCACTGCACCACTACAGCTCTACTTTAGACTTATATACTGTACTGCCCCGTAATGCTTTTACATTACAACACTCCCTGGGCAGTTTACACTGGGCAGTGTAGAAGCATTATTTTCTTATTGCCCCCAACAATCTGGGTTCTCATTTTACCGACCTCGGAAAGATGGAAGTCTGAGTCAACCTTGAGCCAGTCAGGATCGAACTGCTGGCAGTCGGCAGAGTTAGCCTGCAATATAGCATTCTAATTCACTGCACCTGCACTATGTATGTTTGTCCACTTGAGTAATTTATAAAAAATAAAAATAAAAAGATGGGATGTAAATAAAGAAAAATGATCGGGCACTGGGGCGGGTACGGGAAGAACTGTCTTCTGATTCTTGAGTGTTGATGTCATAATTCACGATGCTTGATGAGAGAGATGCCCTCAGAGAAACAACCCAAATTATAAGATGTTTTAAGGTAGCATCTTCCGCCAGCAAGGCTTTCCAAAATGTTCAAAAGTCTATCTCCAAATTGTTGGAAATGTAAAGATGTATCAGGCACGTGTTTTCACATGTGGTGGGCCTGCAAAGCTGCAAAAAAAAATATTGGAGACTGATCCAGACATGGGTAGAACAAGTGGTGGGAGAGTATATTCCATTGAAGCCGGATTTTTTTCTCCTAGGAATAATATCGGAAGGATATAGGAAGGATTTAATTTATCTAACAGTACATGTGTTGACGGCGGCTAGAATAATATATGCTCAATATTGGAAGAAGGAAAACGTACCGCCAGAAACAGAGATAATAAGGAAAATTATGGCTTGTGGAGAATTGGAAAGGTTAAACCTAGAATTAAAAAATAAGGGAGAATCTGAGTACTATGAAACGTGGAATAATTTTTATCAGTGGTTGCATAGAAGAAGGCAAGGTTGGAACATAAGTAAATATGACGATTATAATAATTAGTAAAAAATGTATTTAAAAAAAGGATTGTAAATGCTGAAGTAAAATGTATACATGTATAACAATTGTAATGCCAGAACGGCTACACCGTGTTGTGTTCTTATAATTAAAATAAAAATAAATAACTAGGGAAGGATAAAAGAGAAATGAACCAAATTTTGATCTGAGATGGAATTATGGTGCTGCTATTGTTTCTCTGCCTTCTCCTAAATGTTAAAGTGTGCCGTTCACACCTGTCTTCTCCATTCTCTGCCAGCAACGGAGGACTGGATCCTTGGTCTGGAGGTGGCGTGACAAAGAACATCACAGACACACTCGTTGCCATCATGATTCCAGAAGGAGCTCATCATCTAGACCTGCGTTCCAACAACCCCTTTGACCCGATCTCCGTTCTGCAGGCTCGCCTCTTGGAAGTCCACTACATGAAGTTGTGGATACAGAAGCACAAGAGGGTTAAAAAATGCCTGAAGTAACTGGATATAGTTGTGGGGTTTTGTTGTAGCAACGATTGTCCGTTGGCGATCATCTCCTTCCTGGGTTGTCTCTCCTTCGTCTTAGCTTTCTGCGCTTTCTTTAGCTTCTCCCAGTTCTCAATCAAGATGTTCTGTCTGAGACAAGTTGAAACCGACATGGCTCAGCTTTGGTTAGGGATGTCCCATCCATGTCTCTCATCACAGGAAGCCGAGACAATGTCTTCCTGTTCTTCCTTGAGCTGTAGGGTGCGCAACTGGGAAAGGAGAATGCGTCTAATCCCTTTTGCCTTCACCTTGCTTAGCAGTCTTTGTAGGGGGAGCTGGACACCATACAGGTAGTCCTCGGCTTACGAACCACCACGGGGCCCCAAATTCAAGTTGCTCAGTGAGAAATTTGTTTTAGCGCCATTTTGCGTCATTTCCTGCCACATTGAAGTGAATCATAGAGTGATGCGGTGGCCTAGTGGTTGGAGCTCTTGCCTCACCATTGGGAGGCTGTGTGAGTTCGATCCTAGGCAGAGGCAGATATTTCTCTCTCTGGGCACGATGAGAATATATCTGCTGGGGGGGGGGGGGGGAAATCCGCACTGGCAACAGGAAAGGCATCCGGCCAGTAAACACTCAGCTCCATTCAATTGCCCAGAATCTGTCCCGCAAAGGGATTAAAGGGTCGTTAAAAGAGGATGATTCCTTAAGGGAATCCCTGCACCTGTGAAATGGATAACAGGGTTGTTGAAGTGCATCTGGCTTCCCCCATTGACTTTACTTGTCAGAAAGTCGCAAAAGCAGATCACACGTCCCTGCGGGTGTCGTAAATGAGTCAGCTGCCAAGCATCCGGATTTTTAATCTGGTGACCATGGGGACGCTGCAACTATCGTGTGTGAAAAATGCTCGTAGGTCACTTTTTCCCCTGCCGTTGTAACTTTAAAGGGTCGCAACATGGGCTGTTGTAAGTCGAGGACTACCTGTGTTGCCTTAATTTAAGGAATTCAGGGCAGAAACAGGTGGCAGAGCAGCAGATAACTTAGGACAGGCATCGCCAACCTTTTTGGACCTCAGGGACCACCAAACTCATTTTAAAAACCTGCGGACCAGAGACCCTGGGAAAATCCCCCCCAAAAAAAGTCTGCAGGAAAATTCCCC